TATTCAACATAAATGGGGAGTATATTATGCGAAGAGCACTTGAAGGATGGGAAAAGGGCATCTCAATAAATGGTCATAAACTAAACAACCTACGTTTCGCAGATGACACAGCCCTTCTTGCAAATAGTCAAGCAGAGCTGATGGAACTTATACGACTGATCGAAAACGAAAGTCAAATATTTGGTCTGCAATTAAACATATCAAAGACAAAGATCATGATAGTGGATAGATTACACAACAATCATCCACACATAACCACAATTGACCGGTTCGAGGTTGTGAGCTCATACTTATATCTGGGATCATTAATCACAAACACAGGGTCATTACAAGAAGATATTAAACGTAAATGTGATCTAGCAAAAGTTGTCACAGCTAAAATGACCAAAATATGGAAGGACTGTCAAATTTCAAGAGCGATACAGAGGAGGTTGATCAACTGCTTAATATTCCCAATACTGACCTACGGATGTAAATCTTGGACTCTGAGACAATCGGAGAGAAGAAAGATAGACGCCACTAAAATGTTCTGTTAGAGACGAATGTTACGAATTCCTTGGACCGACCGTAGAACAAATAATTTAATTTTAAGAGAGCTAAAAGTAATCCAACGACTCTCTAGTAAAGTCCATCTCCAACAATTAAAATATTTTGGGCATGTTATGAGAGCAAACACAGAAAACATGGAAAGACTCATAATACAAGGAAAGGTAGAAGGCCGAAGATCACGAGGAAGATCCCCAACAAGATGGATAGATCAAATTACAGGAATATGCCAAAGACCTATGCATGAATTAAAAGAAATGACCAGAGACAGAGATCTCTGGAGACGAACAATACACGACATCACGTCGACCACTACACTCCCCCTGGGGGGTCAGGATTGAAGAGAGAGAGATATCGGGACCTCTCATTTGTTTCTGCCAGGTGCAAAAGGGGGATTATTGGATACGGCAATTGGCGGTGCTGCGGTAATTGCAAAACGTTTTTAAAATCAATCTTAAAGTGACATATTATAATTAATTACTAGTCTAACTAACCTGTTTATAGTCTAACTTATATTGGATAACCTGCTATAAAATAACCAACATTTTGTGGTAACATTAGATGAAAATAGAACCAGTGCGCAATAAATAAGAAGAGGAGTGATACAAGGCTGTGTACTTTCACCATTATTATTAATATATACTAAGATTGATTTACACAAGCACTTTAAAACTATATAGAAGGCATTAAAATCAATAGTAAAACTATAAATAATATTCGTTATAATAACGATACAGTCACTATTGCTAACAATGAGAAAGACCTGAAGACGCCACTAACACACTTTGCGATACTGGGGGACAGTAGTTGGGGTTAACAATGCATATAAAAAACAAAAATCATGGTTATCTGTAAGAGACGTAAAATCATAACAAGGATCCAGATAAAATCCAGATGAGTGTCGTAGTTGTCAATTTATACCTTCGCAATTTCGTTTAAAGACTGTAAATTTTTTCGCTCTTTCACTTGTGCATTGAAATGACTAACAGCACTGTATTGGTTTTCCTCATCTTATTTTAATTTAATTTTAAAAACATGTATTCTTTAATACTAATCTTGGGTTTTCTTTCAGGTGGACGATCAAACATAAGATATTCAATCTACTCTGGGGATCCAGATGGTTTATTCAGTATTGACAGTGTGACAGGGGTTATAGCTACAGCATCTAATTTGGACCACGAGACCAAGTCTAATGTACTGCTCAATGTACAAGCCACCAGCGGAGCGCCCCCAGTTTATGGTCACACACAAGTAAGTAATTTTATGTCTTTCTTCTTGTACCATGCTCGACCATTGAATGTTGATGGTTTTGCAGCCATGATGTACTTCAGCGTGGATATTTTTGACGACAATGTTAAACTGGATCATTAAGACATAGAAGTTTATATTTCTTTGGACTGTTTGGATTTTGAAGTCCAGTAGCTTCTTTAGCTAATTCTATACATATCAAAATTGTGTTAGATTAGATTAAGTTCTTTATCTTTCGAGTTTTTCTTATTCGGTAATGATAACGTTTTATTTTTTATAACCACTTTGTTTTCTGATGGTCTGTATATTTCTACTTTCTTATTATTTTACCTTTCTGTACCTATTGGAAGTATCGTAATCGTATCGTATCATGTTTTTTTAATTCTTCTTTTTCTGGGCAGTTGTTGGTAAAATACTATTATTTTGTTATTAAAATTTTTGTTCTGATATGTTATAGATTCTGTTGTATTTCTTGAAATTTTCATTAATTTGTTGTTGTCGTCACACTATCATACATACATCCTCGACGCTACAACTCATAATGGGTTTTGGCTTCCTTCACAATTTGCCAGTTACCAATTTGCTTTCCTACATATCTTCACCGCATGAGATACATCATTCTAAATTTCTCTTTTTAAGTCTTCCTTTCCTCCAAGAGGAAACCTACAAAACATCTTTCGAGGGAAAAGAAACAAGTATAGAAATTACAAAGGAAGAAATATTGTATGCACTAAAGAACATCAGAAACGGAAAAAGCTTGGGGGCCAGATCAACTGCCTATTAATATCCTTAAAATAATAGAAAACGAGTTCATAGATGTCCTCTTAAAGTTCTTTAATGAAATTTATCAGTCGATTGATATACCCAATGAATGGTTGACCTCAACATTTATTTGTCTCACAAAAAAGAAAAATGCTAGAGAATGCACCGACCACTACACCATAAACTTGATGTTTGATACATTTAAATGTTTTTGAAGATTATCCATAAACGCATTTACTAAATAATTGATATACACATTTATATTTATTCTGAAAAGAATCTCATGGTTGCGTAACTTGAGGAAATGGTAAGGATGCATCAATCGAACTTTTTAAAGTCTCCTTTCTTCTTCCATAAAATATTTTTTTCTGTGGTTCAAGTCACGCAAATCTTCTCGACTTCATAAACGTATCAACTCTTTATCAATCAGCCAATTGCGTTGACTGCTACACATAGGCCTCCTTCTTTCTTTCCAGTGTTCTCTAAACTGGGCCACTTGTAGCCAGTTTCCCGTTACACGTTTTATATCATCGGTCCATCTAGTCGGTGGTCGTCCTTGGCTCCTTATAGTTTCTGGGCTTCCATATATCATATGAATGTAAATGAATGTTCATATATCGTATCAACTCTTGGAAGTTCAAAATTACTTATTATTTTATAAGAAATACTTTCTCATAACTGTCCGTTGAACCTTCGAAGTGTGTTTCCTTTAAGAATTTAAAGAGAGTCAGTTAACCTTTGTTATCTACTAGGTTTGAGCAGAAGTGATGTAGGATTTGAGTAAGCGGCAATGTATACTTCAGTAGCTTTACATAAGCAAAATAGCGTAAGCCTTTTAAGATCTCTTGGTCTACTTTAGGGAAGTAGAACCGGGAACACGAAACTGTGTCTAGTACGGACGTTTATCTTTCCTATCGCTACCTACTTGTCATTACTTGGACCATTAAAAAGTCCAACTCACGAAGTATATTGGCCTTTGAAATGTAGATATATCGTAGAATGATGCGCATACCCTGGACAGCACATCACACAAATGTCTCAATATTGACCGAACTCGACATCAATACTAGGCTTACCACAATCATCAACATTACACAACGACACATTTCCAGACCAATGAAAGGCATGAAGAGGTTGGTGGTTGAAGGCAAAGTAGATGGTAAAAGAACTCAAGGAAGATCGCCACTCCGACGGTCAGACCAAATAAATTGCGCTACCGGTTACTCTCTGTCTGAGGCAGCACACTGCGCCCAGGAGAGAAAAGAATGGATAGCAACCATTCGTCAAATACCATTCCCTCTACCAGATCCTTACGAAGGGTAAAAAATAGAAGACTAAGTCTACTGCGGCATGGTACTTGTCTCACACACAAGTGAATCATTTTGTTTACCATTTAATTCCATTATCGTTTCTCTTCTTACTGGTTAAGGTGAAGCGCATACGTCGTTCACTCACTCACACACACACGAAACAATACCAGCGCCGGTGAGCTACGCTCGCCATTTAACGCAAGTCAAGCGGGTAGTGCATGATACTATAACTTTTATGTATCATGGGGTAGTGGTGCGAAGCTAGAATGCGTGGGATTCTGCCTGAATGTAGTCAAAAGTGGCAATGATTTTTCTTAGAGTTTGGAGAATCGGAAGGCCCAAAACAATATGACTTTACTAGATAATCGTAGCTGGCTTCAAATGTCGCACGAGCGCTTATTATCGATGAGATTATCGATTAACGGTGGGATCAATGCTTGTCTTTAGGTGGATGAATATGTGTGTTATAATCTTTTTAATACTGAAACTTGCAATTATTTATACACGACTTAAGCACCTGATGTTATGGAATTGATTGACACTTAACATGAAAATTCGTCTTTTCGGAAAAAAAAATTGATATCGATTAAACTATTAAGGATTTATGTGCAGTAATTAGCTGGTCTTGATTTTTTCCCTTTTACTTCTTCTTCTTCTTCAAGTTTTCCGCCTATCGGAGATTGTTAATCATTCTGGCAATTTATCATTTATAATTTTGTTTGTTAAGCACCTGTATAGTTCAATTGATAGTTCTTTTACTAGATGCGTCCAATTTCTTATTTCCGCCTCTGTAATAGTTGGTCAGAAGTTATCACACTTTTTTTTTCACTTAGTTCGTACTCACTTTACTAACCTATTATATTTTTACAGGTGAACATTGAAATAGAAGATGTCAACGATAACGCCCCTGAATTCGACTCAACTATCGTCAGAATTTCCGTGCCCGAAAACGTCGAGACAGGTTTACCATTATACTCTGCGCATGCTAAAGACAAAGACTCAGGTCCAAACGGTATAGTAACTTACAAAATAGTCAACAATCCCTACGGAGGCCTCTTTAAGATCGATAGTAAATTGGGGGATTTGACAATTACGCGACATTTGGATTATGAAACTTCCCAGAGACACAGTTTGATGATTACGGCTACAGATACTGGCGTGCCACCTTTATCTGCTAATTTGACAGTTTTAGTAGAGGTGCAGGATGTGAACGACAACGCTCCTGTTTTCGAACGGAAGGAGTATTCGTTGAGTATTTTGGAATCACTAACGGTCAATACACAGGTAAGCTTGAATAATTTTTGATTCAATTAAAAACTTACGTAGATGGTTCTATATAACTAGCACTAGGGCTTTCCCAGAACAGGGCGAATAGGTGCTATTAAAAAGTAACAAAAAGAACGACTTTATAGAACCAAATGATAAGCATTTACTTAAGAATAAGAAAACTTTTTAATTTTATAAATAACAACTCTGGTGCCATCTGTTGGAGATCTAACATTTTTTAACGATTTGTCGGCTTTTATTTTACCTTAACATATTATATAATTAATGAATTTTATAGGATCTTTAATTAAATAATTATTATATTTAAATCTAAATACCTAAGACAATAAATAAATAAAAATAAAATATAAAATTTAAGTAGGATCTCCAAGATCTCAAAGGTTTATCTTCACATAATATTATATTTCTTATTCATTATTTGTGCAGTATATAATTCGAATCCTGATACACTACTAGTTGATTGTCTGCAAAATTTTAGCTATATACATGGTTATCATTAATGAGATTACTTGGCTAAGCTCTACAGTCTTTGATGGCTGTATCATTTTACAGTTACATAGTACATTGTCTTCCCAGCCAACTGAAGGACTTCCCCTTCTTCTTCTTTGTTGTGATATATAATTTGAAGCTTTCTTTGGCTATCTATCTTCATTCATTCGCTTCACGTGGCGATACCACAGTTGTCTCGTTTCAATTTTGTCTACACTGGAATATACAGTATGTTTACTTTTTCCAATATCTTCATTCCTGATATGATCTCTTTAGAAAATCCATTTCTACTACTTCTATTCTTTTTCTATCTTTTTTCGTGATCTGCCAAACTTCTGTCCCATAAGTCATAATAGGCTCTACAAAGGTTCGATAGATTGTCAATTTCGTTTCTAGTCTAATATCTTTAGACCATAGTACGCTTTTTTTCCCTGCTGCGTTATACTCTCGATGTCTCTTTTGTTAGTGCCTTCTTTAGATATTATAGATCCGAGATGTTTATATTCATTGCATCTTTTTGTGTTTCTAATTTCTAACTCTAAATCTTCTTCATCATCTCCAATTTTAAGATACTCTGCCTTTGACATATTCATATTGAAGCTCCATTTTTCATATTTTTTCATTAGTTTTCTAAACATGTAGTCCATGTCTTTCTCATTATCTCATGATTGAATATTTATTTTAAATAAGGTCGGAGATAGACAACATTCTTGTTTAAGCCCCTTTGTTATTGGAAATGATTCAGATATAAAGTACCCTTATTTAACGACACTTTTTGCGTTTTTGTATATATTTGCAATAGCATCCACATACTCTCTACTAAGACTTGCTTTCGTCAAGTTTGAAACATTTTTTTAAAGGTACCGTATCGTATGCCTTTTCTAAATCTACAAACAATAGATGGGTAGATAGATTCCTTGCCTTCCGTTTTTCGATTACCTGCTGCAGAACGAATATACCATCAATGCACGATCTTCCTGCATGAAATCCATTTTTTTCTTCTGTTTTCGTATTCTGATTCTATTCCTTCTTTTATTATTCGACCGTACAACCTCCCCACTGAGCTGATCAGTTATTCTCCTTTAATTAAGTATTTGCGTTTATCTCCTTTCTTAACTATTGAGCTGAAGTATCCAACATTACAATTATCAGAGATATTTCGTCCTTTTACGCATTTGTTACTTAGCAAATTGCACCAACATCTCATGTCATATTTTTGGTCTATACTTTACCAACTCACTTGGGATGTCTCCAGATCCTGCTGCTTTACCGTTTTTTGATCTTTTGAGGGCATCGCTTAACTCTCCGGTTATTATCTTAATTATCGGTGTATGTTTGGATATTTCTTCCATTTCGATCCCTTGTAATTTACAATCTATTCTTTGTCAGTAAGACCTCATAATGATGTTTTTACTGATTCAGAGCTATTAACTTTAAGTTAGATTTTTCCTTTCCTTCTTTCCGGAGAGACCTTATCACCTTCCACGCTTGCCCAATTCTTGTTTCCCCAGATACCTATCCACCTCTGCACATCTTCGATTCCACATCTCATTTAACTTTTCACTACTTTTCTTTTTACATCTTGATTTAATTTTTTATATATCTTGTAATCTTCCTCCTTCGTATCTTGTAATCTCGTTGATATTAATTTCTGATAAGCAGCTTTCTTCTCTTTTACCAAATTCTTCATGTAAATTTGTGGATATCTCTATTGAAAAAATCCATTTATAATTTTGAGAGACATTCTTTCACAAAAATCTCTAAGACGCATTCCGTTGTCATTGGTTATTTGTTCCCCATATCTTCCTACGACTCTGTTATTTTCTTCTCTGTTTACTCTGCCGTTTAGGTCTCCTAGTATAAAGATTTCACAGTTTTCTTTAACTTCAGAGAGTATTTTATTCATCTTGTTGAAATCGTCTTTACTTTCTGGATCTTCATCTTCATTTTATTTCATTTGAGGCCTAAACTCCGACAATTACGATGTTGTCCCAGTCTTTTTCATTTTCACTATTAGCAGTTGTTCATGAACTTCCACGATTTAATATTGTTTTTAAGATTTTTTCGAATGGCAATAGAGATTCCTCTTTTAGCTCTGTTATCTTGACTAATTCCACTGTAGATATGTGTATATTCTCCTGTGTATGTATGTGTATCTCTTCATTTCCTTTTTCCTTTTTCTTGGTCTTGGTGAGAATACATATATCTATTTTTCTTTCCGCTAATTTTTTGAATATTTCTACTTGTTTGGTTCTAAGTCCTTGTACATTCCATGTAGCCAATATCATTTTCTTTTCCGTTGAATTAGTCGTCTTTATTTTGATCCATCCTTTGTATTATGAGGCTTTTGGCAAGGAATGAATTGGTAGCCCATCGCCTTAACACCCCTCCTTATACAGGATTGGGACAGGCACCGGCATTTAGAGTTAGTGCAAGCACTCCTGACCATGGCGCAGTAGAAGAAATTTGGTTTAGTCCCCACTTCCTTGCGAAATGCATTGTACTGTGCACTGTATAATTCCACTTACAATAGAACTCCTCTGTCTTTATGTGAATTTTGACACGCCTTCGCGCAGGTTCATGGCCAGGAGTTTTTGCACTATCTTTACTGAGCTATTCAATCTATCCAGCACTTACCGGAGGTGGAGTTGGCTCTACAGCTCTTTGTACATAAATATTGAACAAAATTAGAAAGAGGATATACGCTTTTACAAGTCCTCAAGCATTTCTTTACAAATTTTTTCAATTATTTATATTAGATAAGGATTACAACAAATAAATTTTGAAATTTGCAAAACTAATTTATGAGCCAGCGATAGAGGGCACGACTGTATGAGCCCACGAGGGCAGAGGGCTTATACGAATGGAAGAAGTACGATAAAAGCGACAAACAAATGTCTTCGGAAAAAAAGCATCGTAGCCCTTTCCAGGTCTACAAATCTTGTATAAATATAGATCGTGATTGCAAAAATTTACATTCTTCTTAATCACGCACATACTCAATAATGAATTTCTGATAGATTTCATTAATGAAGTAACACCACCCATACCATGAGTTGACAAAAAACGCCAAATAACTAGCATTCTTCCAAATACCATCGTTTCTAATAATTAATTGATTTAAAAAGAAAAAAGTGCATCGAATCGAATGTATCATACTTTATCTAAGTTTGTTACGGTTGAATTCTTCGATTCCCCAACCGTGAATAAAGCGTTTTTTGCAATTCATTTCGAAGAAGAACCCATTTAGAATTGTTTTCCCATAAATCGAGAAAAATCTTTTTCGAAGCGACCCAACAAAAACACAAATACGGACTGATGAAGGTGATGAGAACAGTGTCAAAGCTAGGAAGTATTGTTTCGTGATTAGTTTTGCGGTAGTCTCTTGTTTCAGTCTTGTTTGTGGGTCAGTAAACTTGAATAGGAGAGATTTAGTCTGATTAAAATAGTCAACATTTTTGCGGTGTGAGAAGTGGATAAATTCTGTACTGTTTTTATTTTTTGATCAATATACCTTGCCCTTATAATTGACGGGTGGGGTGTTACAGTACATTTGATGCTTTGATTTGCAGTTTTTGTACCAAGAGTTTCAAAAGCATCTACTTTTGCGTTCTTCCTAAATTTTTCCTATCTGAGATCCATCTCATATTTCTTTTTTGTTACCTGTGGTTCCTGATGTTTATTTTTTTCTTTTTATATAAAGTTTTTTGTTGGTAGATCAAAGCATTTTACATTATGTAGTCTTTTTCTACGTAAATCACTAGTTTTAGGTTTGAATTTTATCCACTTTTTTCCCAGCAATATGCTATGATCATTACTGTGAGATTTGTCATATCGTGTTGAAGTTATTCTGGTACCTAAGACGAATCTTATCTCTTTGTTATAGACAAAATGTAAACATTAAGATAAAGAACTACCAATTTCACTCATTTTGACTATCTATCCTTTTTTCACTCAGTTTTCTGATGATTGTTTCGTATGAACTGTTGTCTATATCTATATCAGAGTTAGAGTATGGCATAAACACTGCAACAATTTGAAAATATTTTGGTCCAGATAAAACACCATCATTTACTTTTTGTAGAAAGCATCATCCTCTATTCCATTCAATAAGACATAACTTAATGTCAATGTCGCAATATGACAATTCACCAGATGTTCTGTTCTAATATAACTATATACAACTTTTTCTTTTATTTTATGGCAAATGTTGCAAAAATTTTTCTCTTGGGAATTGTAGATGAGACATTTTTCCTTTCTTTGGGAATGAAGGTAACCCTAGTCCTTATCCGGATTTCCGATCTATGATTTTGGTTTAGACGTCTTTTTGCTTTTGAGAGTCCTGAATCCTCTGGTAATTGGTCAGGAAAGATTTTATCTACAATTGGTAATTCTATGGCACCAAGATATACATTACCCACTCGAGCCGTCTGCTTTTGCATATGTTTCTTGATATTGCAGCAGAATCTTTCGTTGAATTCTGGCTTGTTTTCTAGTTAGACAGTTTT